CGCGTCCCAGCCGCCCGCATCCCGCACTTGCATTCCCACAACTTGTCGTTGCAGCGACAGGTGGGTTAATGGGAGGAGGCACAACCAGTTGTAACGGGATGCTCGGCTGCGCCGGCCCGTTGCAATGGTTGCTTTTAAGCAGGATGGGGAAAGAAATTGGGTTTAAGACTTTTTGTGTGGGAGAAGGGTGGGATCCCCGGGGGACCAGAGGTTGCATGTGCTTGTGTGGCAGCAGGGCTGGAGGGAAAGGGGCCGCAGAGGTGGATGGGGAAAGTCGGTGGCAAAAGCACTTGAAGGGCAGGGTGAGAAGCTGAGGGGGTGATGCTCAGCTCTGGATCAGCCGCATCAAACAGCACTGATCTTACCAGTATCGATGAAGCCAAGGATGCAGAGTGTGATGGAAACATTAATGTTCTGAATGCTGAATTCCTGCCTCAGGGAGCTGAAAAATCCGTCCAAGGCAAACTTAGTTGCAGAGTAGGGGACCGTAAAGGGAAACCCGACTTTACCTGGACACAGAGTGAAGTTTTGTTATAGCCCGGAGAGCTGCTCTACCTAAACCTCTGCTTTGCCCTTCATCAGATAATGTATTTTACCCAAAGGCGGTTTACTGACACAGAGAAATGTCATCCTGGCACCTGAACAGCAGCATTATAAATATTCCCATCAGCTTCCGGCTCTTTTAAGGTCTTAAGGCTAATGGAGCAAAGGTTCAACTCTTGTCTCTGGATACTGAGCTACGCCGAGCACCGGAAGACTAACCAACGTACCAGCTGTGCGTGGGGACATCTGTTAGTAATTTAGCTTCCTAGCTTAGCAGAAATTTAATAAAACAGTCATGTTTTTGTGAATAGAATCAGTCAAGAGCTCACTCTACAAATATTAGCAAGAACTTGACCTACCAAACCAAGATGAATGGTCGGAGATCCAGTGCAGTGAGAAATGATTGCATTTCCACTTTTCTCCCTCAAGCTGGGGGCATTTGAGCTCTGCTGCTCTAATGACCCTGACACCAGGGTGTGGGGTTTATTACAGGATGATCAAAAAGCAAGCTGGGCCGATTGGATTGCATCAGAGCAACGAGTCCCTTGAGAAAATGCAAGACAGATCTGGATTTTCTTTTTTTTTTTGTTTTTCTTTTTTTTTTTTTTCGTGTGTTAGGCTGTTAGGGCTCCTTTAGGATGCCTGGTGTCTCTGCATGCTGCTTCTGGGAATCATTCTACAGGGCCTTTTGACTGAATCCCATGTCACCTGCCTCCCTCCCCACTCACCTGCCATAGATGAAACCACTACGATGCTGCCCTCGCTCTCCTTCAGCAGGGGCAGAGCAGACACCGTCATCGCCACGTAGCTGAGGAAGTTGATCTCCAGGAGCTTTCGTACGTGCCCAACGTCCCCGTTGAAATACCCAAAGTACGATGTGCCGACATGGTTAAGAATCAGCATGTCTAGGCCTCCTGCAAGCAGAGGAGCAGGCATTAGTGCTGGGTGGGAGAGGGCTACAACCAGCAGAGATTTTCCTGGGAGCGGAATAAATGTAATCAGAAGAAATCAGGTTTTTGGGTCAGAGCTGTGGCCTGTCATCTCTTGAGTAGGGATAGAGTCTGGATGGCGGTTGCCAGTAAAGTTTTTGTTGTGATATTTTTTTTTTTCTTTTCTTGGTTCAAAACACGCGCCATGGCACAAGGGAGATCACCCTCGAATTGTCTGTGGGCCTGGGGCGGGAGAGGGACTGCTCCGCCACGAGCCGAAACATTGCGTTTCCGCGGCTGTGACCCGTGACCGCAGTAGCACGGCTGCGATGGGCTGATAGATGGTTTTGGACCACAGTAGCTGAGGGTGATGAAATCCAGGATTATGATAGTGGAACAGGATGTCACGAGGGCGCAGAGCTGAAATTGAGAGCGCAGTTCAGCTTGAGCTGGAGCGGTGAAGCTGGGCGGAGGAGTGGGACTGCAAAGGCCACGATTAGGGAAAACCCTCTCCCACCTCGCCCCATCTCCATCTCTCCTGTTTTCTTTAGTGGGCATGTGGCAAAAAGCGGCATGGCCGAGGAGAGATGTGACGTCTCATCTGCTGCTGGTTTGCGGGGAGCAATCTGAACGTACCCAGCAAGGTCTCTGCCTCCTTCACCACGTGCTGGGCGAAGGTCGTGTCCTCCATGGTGCCGCTGACGTACTGCGCCGAGGCTGCCCCCAGCTCCAGGCACCGCTCCACCACCTGCGCACCAACGCGACACGTCAGAAACCTCTCCCTGCCCCGGGAAGCCTGGTGTGGGGGTGAAAGAGGGTGTCGATGCTCCCCGTGATGCATCCCTGCCTTAAAACAGTGGCTTGGGGGGTTGGGATTATGTTTGGAGCCTTTTAAGCTTCCAAGGGAGCCCGGAAAATGATTCCTTTGGTGAACGCGTTACCCAAGGCAGTCTGGCTCTGTCGGTGCAGCCTGCGCCGGGATTGCACGCGTGTAGTGTGAGCAGGAGCTGGTGTATCGCTGCAGTGGAATGAGGGTGTGTGTGTGCTGAGGGAGCCGGTGTGCGTGGGGCTATGTGTACAGAGCTGAGCAAGCTCAAATATCATCATGTGTGCTATGCAGGGTGCATGCATCTGCAGGAGAGGGATTTCTGTGCAGGCAGGAGCCCCAGACAGCACCACTCTGCGTACCCGTGAACATGTCGGGTATTTGTGCCGTGGCAGTGGCATTTGCATAGATGGTCATGCGTGTACCTATTGAGCGAGATTGGCCTTTGCGTGGCCATGAACATGCATGTGCGAGTGCTCAGCTTGTCATTTACTTTCTGAAGCTTGGCCTCTGTCCGTGCTGTGATCAGGATGTGGGATCCCATCCGCGCCAGGTGATACGCCATCTGCTCTCCAATTCCAGTGCTCGCTCCAGTGACAATCACACGCTTTCCTTTCAGCATCTCTGGGGACCAAGGCACAGGGATTTAATTTATCCAAACCTTATTACTAAAAAAAAAAAAAAAGTGTATATATATACACATATAAAGAAACCCCTAATGCCCTTTAGAATAAACAATTAAGTGGAAGCCGGTAAGTGCAGAGTGTCCAGCACCGGGACATCTCTTCCATCTGCTGGAAAAAGCCGTGCTGAGGAGCTGCCGCAGCTCCTGACCAAGTGCAGTGACGCCGGGCCAGCGCTCCACTCTTCCAACAGCTTTTTCTGCTAGTCAGGCTGCAACTTAGAAACACCCCAACCATTTTGTAATAAAAACAATCCGCTAAGTGCATGCTTCAGAACTTAAAATCCAACATTTAAAGGTCATGTTTATAAATTCTTCTGCACACACTGGAAAATGGAGTGCTCGGAGCCTTCTCCGTCTCAGACCCTCACCTGCTCCCTCAGGAAGGATTTCTGCATATTCCTTGCTCAGTTTGATATCAGATCTTTGTTAAAACAACTTTCCAAGTACTGACCACCACACAAAGCCTCAGGCGTGGTTTGGGGTGAGCTCTGTACCGTTTCTACGCAAAACACTCAAATGTGGCTTTTAGTATTTTCCCTTAAAGACAGATTCACTTTTAATACTTACCCGGTTTGAAAGTCTCCCTCGCAGAATAAAACCAGAAGGCCAAAACCAATCCCAAAAAGGGAATGAGAATCTTTTGCAACCGACCCATCCCACTGTGGAGTCAGGAAATAAAGCATGAAAGAGAAGAGGGAAGGAAAAAAAAAACCACCCAAACCCTCTGCAGAGCTGCTCCAGAGGGAAACAGCAATGCCAATCCTTTAAAACCTGTTAGCGAAGGAACTGCGACTTCCGAAGGACTGGAAAATCACGGGTGGATGGCAAAGTGACGCAGACCCTTTGATGTGCTCCCCGCTGGAGCTGGCGGACCTCGGCCTAACCGGCGGTGCTCTTTGGGTTCTGCCCGACTCTTTTCATATTTCCTGTCCTACGTTAAAATGCAGAATTTTGCACAACACCCTGGAAGAGGTGTGTCTTTGCCGAGCAGCGTCAAGTTTCACTGCGAGCACATCAGAGGCAGCCTAGTGCAGGTGGTCAAACATCCTGGCTTGTTCCCGCTGGCACGCTGCGGTGTGTCCGGAGATGCAGTCCGGCTCTGATGGCTTGCAGGCACTGGGGGCTGCTCTGCGGCGGGGGGCACGCGTGCCGAGGGTCCTGTGCTCCCCAGGGCATCGCTGCGCTCAGAGGCAGCTGCCTGCTGCCGGGGTGCTGGGCAGTGGGGGCCCAGCAGCACGTACCATCCCCAAACAGCTCCAGAAATGCTTTGTGGCAGGTTTGGTTTGTGACTTCTACCTACTCCTGTGGGCAGAAGAAGGAGTTGGACCCATCACAGGGGTGCTGCCGCCCCAGCTCCAAGGTTCAGGCACGAGAAGGTTGGGATGAAATACCGAGTGTTGTTTTCTGGGGAAATGGGGTCCTTGCTGACGTGGTTCCTGCTTTGAGTTTTGCAAGAGCTTAGTGCTTACTTCTAACTGAAAACAGGCTGAGGAGAAGCTGCGTAACATCCGCTCGCTCCCTGAGTCTAGGCGCTGGCAAACGGGGTGCCATCGGTCTCATGCATTAGGTACGGATTATCTGCCAGCCTTGGACTGGCGCTGGGATCTTCGTCGCAGGGTACCAGTACCTGCCGGGGTACTGGGATGGGGATATCCTATGGGAGCTTCGTATGGAGCTGCCTCGGGATAGCCTGCACTTTCTCAGTGGGGGGGAAAAGCCGGGTTTGCCAGGACAAGAGCCTTATCTGCAGTGCCAGGGCTGTACCATGCTCTGATTTACGTGGGCACAGTGCTGACGTCATCCCTCTCGGACCCCTCCACCATAACCAGCCAGAAAGAATTATTTAAGGAAAACTTTTTTCCCCTGTTGCGGCTTTAAAATGAAGGTTATTTCGCTTAGTGCTCTACCCGGTTGGGCAGTGGAGGTCTCCGGCATTGCTTCTGCTTTATAAATTTCTATTTATTTTTCAACTTTCTGCCTTAGTCTCAACTTTCTGATAAGAAGCACTAAACCCACGCTTGGTCAGATAACAGCAGTACAGTCACTTAGCTTTTTCCTGCCTCCCTTTGCTTTGAACTTGGGTCACAATCATGGGGTAACCACATCATTCCTAAACTTGGAAAAAGCTGAACTGGTTACCCTTCCCTCAGCCGTGATCTCGTCTGTGCTGCTGGCGGAGACAGGGGCTTTTTTCAGGTATTGTGGTGTGTTATTAGTGCTGGGGGACTGCAGTAAAGCAATAACCACCAACCTTTGTGCACCGTCTGCAAGCGCGTCGGGAAGGTTTCGTGCACTTTGCTCTGCGTCGTCAGTCGCAGGGAGATGGGGGGCCGGTGGGTACGGAGCCAAATGCTGCCCTGGCCTTGCTGCTGTGCTGTTCAGTGGGACAGATGGCTTGGTTTGGGGGTTTTGTGTGACACAAAGTAGCTGCTAATAAAGGATTGACATACTGACTATTTTGGACATAACTTACACTAATTTTCTCCTGTAAAAAGTATGCCATTTAGGGTGTCCTGTGTGGGAATGAAGCGCGGGGGGTGCTGGCGTGGTCCCCAGGAGGGCTGGGGGCTGTGGTGGCAGCAGGAGCGGCCGGATGTGGCTGAGCTTTGCTGCCCACGGGGGCTTGCTTTTGGCCGTCTGTCACCCTTGCAGGGTGCTGCTGCTCCTCACTCCCACTCACAGCTTTTTCTGGGTTTGTTTTGCTGTATGCAACTTAAGAACTTGTTTTTAACCTTTCCCTGGGGGTGGGGAGTGAGGGAAGGGAGAGGGGGGAGGGAAGAGGTGACTAGAGAGAAGTGTTTTCTGCTCTCGGCTGGTCCTGGCCCTGCTGCTGCCAAAGCTTTGTGCCTTGGCCGAGGAGAGCCCGGTGACATTCCCGGCCCAGTGGGATGGAGGACAGGGGACCCTCACTCCAATTTTCCTGGGTGCACCCCCACTGCACATTGCTCCTCTATCACTGTTTGCAGCCGTGTTTTCCAAGGGGTGATGCATTGCGCTAACTGCTCTGCACGGGGCAGGTTCTTCCTTCAGCGCTGCCCTGGAACTCGTGGGCAGGAAAGGAAGAGGTGACGGAGACCGGTTCGGACAACAAACTGGCATAGCCACAGCGCGGGAGCTGGTGGAGAGCCCCTGCCATGACCCGGCACTGCTGGAGGGCAAACATTCCAGGGGCAGGGCTGGGGCTCAGGTAGGCTTGTGTGTGCAGCTCAGGGACACAAAACGCTTGGCAGGAGCTGAGATCCCACTTCTTTTTTTGAGTAATATTTGGCTTTTCTCAGCCCATTATCAAATCTCTGTCAGATCTTTGTTTGTTCTCCCCCCTGTCCTTTGTCACGTACACATTAAAACATAATTTCTCATACTTATCTCAGGATACTTTACTGTGACACAGATTTCATTCCTTTCTTTACAGATACCACCGTCATAAAGGGCTGCCCTCAGTTTTATTTGCATTAGGCTGATGTGCATGTCAACATGATGCCATTGGGCCGTGACAGATGTGTGTGTTTTTTGGCACGACTGCATGCCACCTCGCTGTGGCTCCTGGGCAGGGCCCCAGGGGAGACTTGAGGTGTTTGTAGGACTGGGCTTGGTTTGACATGATATTCCTCCTAACTGCCAGAAAACACTGTGATGTTTAAACCATGTCTAAGCGCTAAATTTGGGTTTTTTCCTGCGTGACCAAATTGGGAATTGCTGCCTGGATACCTGATTGTTGATACTGTGGCTGCTTTAAGGCTTGGCCACTGTCCATGTTCCCAGTGCCCTTGGTGTTGGGTGGAAGAGGCTGATATGCTTATCTGGGCCCCTAATTTTAGCTTGGCAGCTCTTGAAACATCCAGAGTCCAAACCGCAAATAGCAAGTGAGGACTCTCTCTGAAGACATTCAGCTTGTGCCCTTGAAGCAATTGGCCTGGGGGGGGGGTGGTGGTGGTGGTGCTGCTGCTGCTGGGATTTAGGTGGCCTTCAACTCCATATGATGAAAACCTGGACAAGGGCTCTGAGCTGAAATATGATCTTTAAAGAGGTGTTGCAGGATGGGTCCAGATAAATACTCACCAGGTCTCATGCCAGCTGCAGTTTTCCTGAGGATTTAGTGCAGCAGGAAAATGTCACGTTTACAGGTTATAGTAAATTGGGTTCAGACAAGTCTTATAAGAATGATTTCTGTTGTTCTCTATCTCATATGACGCTCAGCAATGTAACTCACGCCTTGGGCAACGTGTGGCTCTCCTCAAGAGCTCATCCCCTCAGGACTTTGGTGTAACATGGTCTTAAATGCTCCATATGCTTCCACCCTGTAGCTCGCCTGAGGTGTCCTTACTAGTACTGACCGTGCATTTTACTCCCTGTGGTTGGTCTCTGGTGTATCCCAGTACTTCAAGCTTCTCTTTGCAATTCACACACGGGCTCTTGGAACAACTCCGCTGTGCTCCGCTGCCAGTGTGTGTGTGGATGCCGTGTGCTGGTTGTATGTGTTGGCCAGGGCTTTCTGCAGTTTGGTGTGGAAATACAGACGTGGTGGGGCTGGGGAAGAGGCTGGTTTGGAGAGACGGGCTATGGTTTAATGACAGGGAAGTCTGAAGCCTTTTAATCTACTGCATCTGGCGAATCTGGCATTCATCACAGTTAAAGTGATGTTAAATGGATTTACTAAGCCTTCCTGCACCCTGAATTTGTCATTGTGTGGTTTGAATAAGGCTTTATATAGTCACTGTGGTAAAATCAGCTGTTAATATGTGCCCAGTTCGCCACTCAGCAGAGAACCAGCCCGGTCTGGTACCGGTGCAGTCCGCTGCGGAGATGGTAGGGTGTAGACCTGATCTCTCAGGCTGACCTTTCGGGGTGATACGTGGGTGGTAACAGCTCTGAGCTTGCAATGCGTCAGAAGGCAGGAGATTGTCTTCTGCAGGACACGATTTTACCGAGTTGGCTCCAGAACCGGCGGCACAGCGCGTGCTTTAGCTGTCTAATCCCGTTAGCTGTCTTAGGAGGAGCTATTTTGACTGTTCCACAAACCTCTTTGCTTTAAGCTCATAAACCCAGCGCCTGGATAACCGTGGAGAGGAAGCGTGGGCAAGGGGGTGCCGGTGTGTTGTGAGGAGGCCACGTATGTGGTGTGAACACGACCAGAGGTCCAAACCCAGATGAGGAGGAGGCCAGCCTAGAGCTCCCTAGTCAACCCTGCACTGGCAAGCTGGGCTGCTGGGGACCAGCCCTGTCTCCTCGCTTCTAAAACTTCCCTTTCCCCTAGGGCAGGGTGAGACATCTCTACAACCGGTAGAGAAGGGCTCATCTTGGGAACCGACATGTGACTGACGGAGTTTGCAGCTGCCTTGGACAAAGACGTGATTCTCATCTCGGTTTAATCCGTTTATCTCCGCTGAGCTCTGCCGCAGCAGCGATGCTTCCGAGGGCAGGAACATGTGAGAGCTCAGACCTGGCAATATTTCTTTGCCTGATACAGCCACAGACACTCAGGTCCCTGGCTTGTCCATGCAACAAGCATAGCGCAGGGAATTCCTGGTCAGCCTTCCCTGTCCCAGAGCTGTGCTGCAAACATAAAACCTGTTTAAAGGTGGAATTGGGGGCACCAGCCAGCTGATGGCGTTCTTCAGGCCTGAATTCTCCTTGTGTGTGTTCCCATGAAACTTCCATTGGTGTCAGTGAGGTGTTGGATTGTTCGACCTTGCCAGAGACCCAAGGCTGTGTCACACTAAGTGAAGTATTCCTCAGAGGCCGTTTTTAATTGCACTCTGCACTCCTCCCCGTGAGGAAAAGGTTCTTCATACCTGGTTCAGAGCTTGAACAGAGTTTTTGTGCAGGGCTTGATCGGATTCTTCCTCCACGGTATGCTGCTGGGATTTTTTTGTGACAGAGGTAATTATCAACAACATGAATTGTCCATTATATATTATGAGAATGTAAGGGTGAATTTCAGCTGTGTTATTCTATTTTTGGATTCTGATCCTAACTTGTGCAGCTCTGGGAGGAGCCACACATTGAGCACTGGTGTCAGCCAGTGCTTTTTCATTCTGCATAATCTGCTGTTTGTATCAATTGCTTTGCTTTTAGCTAGATAGTGGCGTGTTGCTGGTACATCTCCCAGTTTCTGCGCCCGGCAGGCTGTGTCCGCTGAGCAGATAAAGGGATTTTCTGCCCCAGTCATGACTGACAAGGGACTATTTCCCTTCTCTCCCTTCTGCAACGTGGTCAGGATCTTTCAGCTGTGACTGGCTGGAGGGTTTATTTGACTAACATGACACAATCCTGAATGCAACAGATTCTTACTAAGCCCAGGAAAGATTTTTAAATGGGTGAAAGTCCTCGAAGGAGTCTGGCAGTGCCCTTGGTACAGCCCTGAAGCTTAGATCCCCATTTCCACACCACCCAGGCTGACTGTGCTCTCCATGCTTCAGTTTTTCTATCTGTGACACCCCTGTAAAACTGGAAGCTAACACTATTCTGCACCATTAGGAGTCTGTGGTGGGTTTGTGAAGGATCCCAGGAAAGACAGATGACATTTTAGAAGTTTTTTAGCTCTGCAGCAGCCGTAGCCTGCTAGAGTATTGCTGGGGGATGGACAGGGGTTTTTTAAACCGTTCTGGGTGCCTGTGGCTGGGACACAAATCTGTGCCATTAAACCCGGGTAACCCCAGGGAGGTACAACCCCACCTCCAACTCAGGCCATGTGTCTGGCACCCGTGCAAGTCAAATGCCACCTCCTCCCCCCACCCCAGTTGGCCCATTTTGGAAGGGAGCAGCACAGAAACACCACCCCCTCGCTCCCACAGCAGCCCCACTGAGGGGGGCTTTATTGGAGGGCACAGCCACCACCCTCAGTTGTTCCCCAAGTCCCCCAACGACCCCCCAAGAGCAGCCAGAGGCGCAAGTGAAGCCTATTTGCAAATCCGTAGGAGAAGGGGAAATGAACGCAGCTGGAGAGCACTGGTACCATATAAAATACTTCTTTATTTTGCAAAATGTTGTAAAATGCATCTGTAATAAAAATAAGAAACCATGCTGTGCATCTTGCACATTTTTATACCAAGAAAAGGTATTTTTTCCGCCACTGCTGCACAGCAGCAAATATAACCGTTCACTTCTTTCAAGTCTCGCACTTGCGGTCTCCTCCTCCAGCCGATCCTTCTCTCTTCCTGCTGGAACCCTTTTCCAGGTACTCCGGGACAGCATCTCGTGCTCGGCTGCTCCGCAGGCCCCTCGCGCGCGGGCTCTCAGGACGCGTGTTGCCTGGTCACCAGGGCCCTCTGCGTCGCCGCCGGCTTCTTGCTCTGTTCCAGGATCAAATCCTCCTGCTTCTGAGGAAGCGTTTGCTCTCGCGTCAGGGCAGGTTTCTTCTCCTCCTCCTCCTCCTCTGGCCTCCCTTCAGAGGTGAAAGGGCTGCACACCGTCTCCACCAGCCCGATGAGCACCCCGAAGAAGGCCAGCACGCTGCCCAGCATGTACAGCTTCACCATCTTCCTGTTGGGCTTCTGGCTGAGCATTTCTCTGGCGAAGGGGATCAGCTCGTGCATGGTTTCCATCCTGCTGCAGCAGATCCCCAAGTGTCAGCTCTACAAGGGAAAAGAGAGGACAGGAGTCAGATCCAGCTGCTTTTTTCTCCGCGGCCAGAGCCCTCCAGGCACCCCCCAGCCCAGCTTCAAGTGCGGGGTTGGGATTTTTCCCGTAGGAAAGCCCAGCCACCCCATGGCCCCATGTCCTCGGGGGGGAGGAATCCAGCCGGGGCGCCCCGCGCCACGGTCCCGCATTCTGCACGGCACCGCCCC